AATTCTCAAGAGCCCAATACCACAGCACTCGGGAGGCAGAGGCAGATGAATCTCCGTGAGTTTGAGGCCAGCCTGGTCTACAGAGCAAGTTCCAGGACAGTCTCCAAAGAGAGGAACCCTGTACCCCCCCCCCAAAAAAAAAAACAGTCAGTAAATAAAAGAGCCCAATCCCAAGTACAGCCCATTTTTGTGCTTCACCAAATAGGGGTAGAACAGCAGCAGCAGATGGAAGCTGAAGTGGAAAGACGAAAGTCCCTAGCTGCCTATGGTGGACATGCCTTTAGGGGGCAGAGGCAGGCGGATCAATGAGTTTTGAAGTGTTCCTGGTCTTTATAGTGAGTGTCAACAGCCAGAGCTTTGTAGAGAGGTTCTGTCTTGAAAGAAAGTCCCTGGAATAACGTGACCCTAGCAGCTGCTTGGTACTATTTAGCCCTCCTCTCCATTGGGAGTGAGTGACTGACTGTTTTCTCCTGGCCATGGTTTGCCAGAATTGTTACCATACGTTTTAGGGTCAGAGCTGCGGCCTGTCATCCCTGACAAGCTAGGCGTGGCCACCTATCCTCAAATGTGTCAGTTAAATCCACTGTTAGTAATGAAACAGAAAAGAATTTATTCAATGTGGCCACACTGGAAAGAGATTGAGTGACACCCACCTATCTGTTTTAGGGTTCTAATATAAAAAACATAGATGAGGGGGCTGGAGAGGTGGCTCAGAGGTTAAGAGCACTGACTGCTTTTTCAGAGGTCCTGAGTTCAATTCCCAGCAACCACATAGTGGCTCAGTCATCTGTGATGAGGTATAGTGCCCTCTTCTGGCATGCAGGTGTGCATGTAGGTAGATACTGTATACATAATAAATAAAAAAAATAGATGAATTTCAGGTCAATAGAAGGTGTGATGCATAACTGATTGTTAGTGGTCAAGGTGTAGCCCGACGGCTGTCATTGGCTCCTGTTTCCTGCAAGGTGATCTGACAAGTTTTCAGAACTGTGAGATCTTTCTGAGGTGACAACTTTCTCAGCCTGGCACCTGGGCTCAGCCTCTTCCTTCTCCCAAAATGAGCTTCCTGGGAAAGTTCAATGAAGTCCATTGTCTCAGTAGTCTGACAGCAGAGGAGGGACACTCATCCTTTTATGCTGTCTTCATCCTGTGAGGAGAGTTACAAAGGAGTTGCAGGCATGAGCCAGCAGGCCTGGCCACACCTAGCTTTTTACTAGCTTTTCCAGCTGATGGTAGGTATTCTTTGATGCTGCACCAACGCTTGGCAGGTGGTAAATTTTTTTTTTCTTTTTTTGTGGTCCATACAGCATCATGCATGCTAGACCAGCACTCTGCCATTGTATTACATAGCTCACAAGATATGTGGTAATTTCTTAAAAGTTAGTTGCAAGGTTGATAATTTAGCTCAGTAATACCCTGCCTGGGTTTCATCCTCTGCACCAGAAAATAAAAAATAATTGTAAAGGCTGAAGAGATGACTCAGCAAGTTAAGAGTATTGGGTGGTATTCTCAAGGACCTAGGTTCAATTTCCAGCACCCACATGGCAGCTCACAACTTCCTGTAACTTCACTTCCAGGGCATCTGATGCCCTTTTCTGACCTCCAGAGGGCATTGCATGCAGGTGGTGCACAGACATACATGTAGGCAAAAATAATCATACACAGAAATGATTTTAAAAATAATAAAATTAGTTGAAAAGAATTTTTGTGCTGTGTACCTTAAAAACAATTATCTGTCTTATATTTTTATTATTGGATGTACTGGGGCTTGAACATAGAACCTTGTATGTAGTAAAGAAGTGTTGTACTATTAAGCTGTTTGTTTGTTTGTTTGTTTGTTTTTGCTATTTAATTTGAGGCAGGTCTCACTAAATTACCCAAGCTATGCTTGAATTCATATTTTGGCCCAGATAGGCTTTGAATTTTTGCACTATTGTGCTCAGAGCAAGCCCAGGGCTTTGGCATGCTAAGAGCCCTCTATGACATGAACTCTATCCCCAGCCTTTGACCTGAGATTTTGAGCTAGGAATCTTAAACTTAAAATCTTCCTGTTTTAGCCTCCAAGAAACCAGGATTACTGTGATTACAGGCCTTTGCCACAAGGTCCTACTTTGAATTTTTTTAATTTTTTGAGGGGGTGGTTCATGAGTACTCTGTGGTGTGTGTGGGGAGGTCAGAGGACAACTTTCTGGAGTTTCTTCTCTCCTTTTATCATGTGGATCCTAGGGTCAAACTCAGGCTGTCAGACTGGAGAGGTGGATCATAGGTGACTGAGTTCAGTCCCTAGAGCCATATTGTGGAAGGAGAGAACCAGCTCAGCAAGCTGTTCTCTCTCTCTCTCTCTCTCTCTCTCTCTGTGTGTGTGTGTGTGAGAGAGAGAGAGAGAGAGAGAGACAGACAGAGACAGAGAAAGGAAGGGATGGGGAGAGAGGAAGAGAGAGAGAATGAAAAAATAAATTGAGACTGATCCTCCTATAGCCCAGGTCTGTCTAGAACTCACTGTGTAGTTGAAGCTTGGTGCTTCTTATCTGCCTGCCTCCACTCCTAAGCAGTAGTGTTACAGGTATGCACCTTCTTTCAGGGCAAGGACTTTCTTAAACAGGACCTGCTTTTCCCCCTCAAGAGCACGTGGCAGTGAATACAGTAAGCTTATTTCACAGTTTGGTTTGGGCAAAGGCAAGAGCAATTATACCCTCCATGATATTTTCACTATTACTATAAATGCTAAGATGCTTTAAAAAAAAAAAGTCAAATGATGCCTTAGTAGTATAGCAAAAATAGTTTGCACCACATGGATTCCTGAAAGGTTACTAGTATGGCTCAGGAGCCATAAATCACACTTTTGAACTGCTGTCCTAAGCAAATCACTGGTCAATGGGAGTTTATTCTTGCCATGCTGGCCTTGGTATCACTTGCCCATAATCTCAGTCCCTGGGAAGTGAAGGCAGGACCAAGAGTTGAAGGTCATCCTCAGCTACGTAGTAAATTAAAAGTCTGCTTGGGCTACAGAGTTTCTGTCAAAAACAAAAAATCCAGTTTGCTGTCTGTAAAGATTGATCGGCATTGCATCATTTTGCCATACCTAGAGAACAAAAAGATTAACAGTTGCAATTCGTTTTAGAAAAAATGCTCCTTGCTGGGTGGTGGTGGCACACCCTTTAATCCCAGCATGGGGGGGGGGGGGGGCAGAGGCCAGCTTGGTCTACAGGACTAGTTCCAGGACACAGAGAAACCCTGTCTCGAAAAAAAGAGAGAAAGAAAGAAAGGAAGGAAGGAAGAAAGGAAGAAAAGAAAAGAAAAGAAAAGATGCTTTTTAGTAGAGAAAATGAGAGCTCCCAAGAGTGGGAGTGCTTCTCCGAAAGGACTGCTTCCACATGCCCGCCCAGTGTTTTGTTGCTGCTTGTGTATGACGTGGGTGCGCTCCACTGTGCGCACACAGATGACGACTTAGAGTCAGAGTCAGTTCTCGCCTCTACCCAGAGTTCTGGGGAATGGGACTCGGGTCATCTGGCTTCTGTAAAAAGCACTTTGGCCTGTTGACCCATCTCACAAGCCCTGCCTAGTAGCCTTTTATGTCTTACAGAGGAACTGGATTAAGACCGAGGGAGTCATTATTGAAATTGGTCAGTTTTTGAGCTCATCAAAGGCTAAGCCAATGAGGAGTCTACACACCCTGTCCTGTTCTCTTGGCCCAGAGAAATGATCGTGCCTTACTCATCCAGTCTAGTCATGTGCTGCAGGATTAGCTCATGGTCCACCAAGGCCCTGCCTTAAGGGTGATTAACTCAAAATTTCTGTCAAGCAGTATCTAAAAGATAGCTATCCTTGTGCCTTGCTTAGAAATTAGAATGCTGTTGACAGATTTCTGTCTCACCCAGTCCCACAGTTGTTCAGAACTAAAGAAACACACAGAGGCCTACATTAATTATAAACTGTTGGCCTATTAGCTCAGGCTTCCTATTAACTAATTCTTACATTTTAATTAGCCCATTACTCTTGTCTATGTTAGCCAAGGCTTAGTACATTTATCAGCGAGGCATTCTCATCTTGCTTCCTCTGTGTCTGAATGATAACTGCAGGCTGAGTCTTTCCTCTTCCCAGAATTCTCCTGTTCTCATCATCCCACCTCTACTTCCTGCCTTGTCACCCAGATTTTAAGTCAAAAGATATGTAGAGGAAGCAAGATAGGCCTCTGTGTGTTTGTTTGGGACTGAATGGCTACAGGACCTGGCAGGACAGAAACCTCTGTCAACAGAATGCATGTTTTTTGAACTATGTTCTTTTTTTTTTTTTTTAAAGAACTGATCTGTTAAACTCTTTTTTTTTTGTTGTTAAATTTATTTATTATGTATACATATTCTGTCTGTGTGTATGCCTGCAGGCCAGAAGAGGGAATCAGACCTCATTACAGAATGGTTGTGAGCCACCATGTGGTTGCTGGGAATTGAACTCAGGACCTTTGAAAGAGCAGGCAATGCTCTTAACCACTGAGCCATCTCTCCAGCCCTTGAACTATGTTCTTTAAAATTATATTCCACCACTGGGTCTGGTGATAAAACCCAGTAATCCCATCTACCTGGGAAGTTGAGACAGGAAGATCACAAATTCAAGGCCTACCTGAGCTGTGGCCTAAGTTTCACATCAGCTAGATCCTCTCTCAGAATACAGAAAGGAAAACAGCAGGTGTGGTGACTCCAGGCTGTAATCCTAGCACTTGGGAGGTGGAGTCGGAAAGAGCAAATTTGAGGTTGGCGTAGGCTATGTGAGCTCCTGGCCCCCAAACAAAAACATCTTGTGCACACATTTCACTATGGTGGTACATGTCTATAGCTTAGCATTTGAGGAATAGAAGAAGGGAGATTTTGAGTTCCATGCTTTCATGGGCTGCATAGTGAGTTACAACCAACCTGGACTGCTTGGCAAAACATGTCTTAGAGAAAACCAACAAAGTGCAAGAAAACATTTTACAGGCTGCTGCTTCCCCTGTGTTTGAATTGCAGCTCCCTGGATACTTTTGTTCCTATGCATAAAGATGTCTCTGGTGGATTTGGGGAAGAGGCTGCTGGAAGCTGCAAGAAAAGGCCAAGATGATGAAGTGAGAACGCTGATGGCCAACGGGGCCCCGTTCACCACAGATTGGGTGAGTTGAGCTGAAGAGGTGTGGTGCTCCCTCTTGTGCTCTGTCATTCCTGCCTCCTGCAGGAGTGTTATTTGTGCTGCCTGACTGCAGTTCTCCTCCAGTGTGAAAGCTGCCTGTCAATGGGTAGTAGTAATTGTGAGCTGTTAAATTGTGGGAATTTGGATGGAGAGATGGCTCAGAGGTTAAGAGCGCTGACTGGACCTCTGGAAGAGATCCTGAGTTCAATTCCCAGCAACCACAGTGGCTCACAACCATCTGTAATGAGATCTGGTGCCCTCTTCTGGCCTACATACAAGTAGAACCCTGAATACATAATAAATAAATCAATCTTTAAAAAAAATACTGGGAATTTCCCTCTTTTATTTTATTTTTATATTTTTATTTGCAGTTGTGATGGTATATGTCTTTAGTCCTAGAACTTGGGAGGGAGAGGTAGGAAGACCTCTGAGTTTGAGAACATCCTGGTCTACATGACAAGCTCCAAGATAGCCAAAGCTACATAATGAAATCCTCTCTCAAAAAACAAATATAAAGCTCCCAGAAGTTGTCCTGACCTCACACATATACACCTGTGTGTGCACACATGTACACATACATGCAAATAAATGTTACAAATACCAGGCATGGTTGTATACATCTTTTTGTTTGTTTTTGTGACAATATTGACTGTCCTGAAACTCGCTTCATAGTAGACCAGGCTGGCCTCAAACTCACAGAGATCCGACTGCCTCTGCCTCCTGAGTGCTTGGATTAAAGGCGTGCCAGTTAGTAGTATACATCATTAACTCCAGCACTTGGGAGGCAGAAGCAGAAGATTAACCATGAATTGAAGGTCAGCCTGGTCTACATAGTAAGACTTTGTCTCAGGGGAGAAAGAAAGGCCAGGTGGTAGTGGTGGTGCACACCTTTAATCCCAGCACTCAGTATATAGAGATAGGTAGATTTCTGAGTTTGAGACCTACCTGGTCTACAGAGTGAGTTCCAGTTCAGCCTGGGCTACATACAAAACCTTGTCTCAAAAAAAAAAAAAAAAAAGAGAGAGAGAGAGAGAAGAAAGAAGAAAAGAAAGAATAGTTTAATATAGTGAGCTTGTTAACCAACTCAACTTGGAGACCAAAGAGTTTCAGAAGATTCAGGTCCATGGAGTAATGGAGGGCATCTAAACACATTGGTTTTGCTTTTTAAGATTTATTTACAGATGGTTGTGAGCCACCATGTGGTTGCTGGGAATTGAACCTAGGACCTGTGGAAGAACAGCCAGTGCTCTTAACTGCTAATCTCTTCAACCCGCATTCACAGATTTCCTTTCTTTCCTTTTTTTTCCCTTCGGGTTGTTTTTGTTTTTTGAGACAGGGTTTCTCTGTGTAACAGTCCAGGCTGCCCTGGAACTCACTTTGTAGACCAGGCTGGCCTTAAACTCACAGAGATCCGCCTGCCTCTGCCTCCCAAGTGCTGGGATTAAAAGTGTGTGCCACCACTACCTGGTGGTTGATGAATTTTCTAAGCACTGACTGATGCTCACAATTTTTATGATGGAGTAATGATTGTTGTAGTATGATTAACTCATAACTTCAGGGTCCAACTGGTTCTTTTTTTGTTTGTTTGTTTGTTTTGAGACAGTCTCTCTCAATGAAGCCCTGGCTTCTTGGGCTTCTATCTCACAGAGATCCACCCGCTTCTGCCTCCTTAATGCTGGTTCTAAAGGTGTAACCACCACCCAGATTACTCTTCTTGACAGAAAACAAACTGTCTTGTAAGCCATGCTTAAAATCTACCTAACTCAAAATCATTATACTTTAATTTTATGATTTCTATTGTTTTTAATTATATATGTGTGTGTCTGTGTGGGGTGGGCATGTGAGTACAGTTGTCCTTGGAAACCAGGGTGTCGGGTCACCTACAGCTGGAATAACAGCTGTGAATCACCTAACATGGGTGTTGGGAACTGAACTCAGTGCTTTTAACCATTGAGTTATCTTTCTAGCCCATGTATATTAATTTTTAATTCTATTATTTATTCAATCTTATCTGCCCTGTAAGATTTTTTTCTTCAAGGATGAATACTATAGGATTCATTTATTGTTCATGTATCTCTACCCCAAAATGATTCAGTTCTACACACAGTAGAATTCAATGAGTATTATTTTCCCACAGCTTGGAACATCACCTCTTCACCTTGCAGCCCAGTACGGCCATTATTCCACAGCAGAGGTGCTCCTTCGAGCAGGCGTGAGCAGGGATGCCCGGACCAAGGTGGACAGGACCCCTCTACATATGGCTGCAGCTGACGGCCATGCACACATTGTGGAGCTGCTGGTTAGGGTAAAGCAAGAACGGTGGGGTGATGATGTGAACTCACCTCCCGCACTGTCTTAAATAGTGGGGGAGTGCGCGGGAAAGACGTGAGAATAGCTGGTCATTAAGTTGCATCTCTATTTATTTATTTATTTAAATTGATTTTTTCACGAAAACCATGTTTTAAGAGTCATGAGGATGAGTTTGTTTTCTAATTTTTTTTTTTTTTTCTTTTTTTTTTTTTTTGGTTTTTCGAGACAGGGTTTCTCTGTGGCTTTGGAGCCTGTCCTGGAACTAGCTCTGTAGACCAGGCTGGTCTCGAACTCACAGAGATCCGCCTACCTCTGCCTCCCGAGTGCTGGGATTAAAGGCGTGCGCCACCATCGCCCGGCTTGTTTTCTAATTTTTTAAAGACTTAACAGGTTTTATTGATTTTCTTCATTCTTTTCTGTAGGTGTTCTCTGTACTTGTGCTTGTTTTTTTTTTTTTTCAGACCCTACTCAGCTTTCTGCTAATAAATGCAACAAAGTCTGTTCCTTGCCCCTCCTCAGCCATCTGTTAGAGTTTCCCGGGGCTGTCCTTAGCAGACCCACTCGTTGGAAGCATAATGTCTCAGCTCAGGCGGACTTGAGAAATGTTTTTCTCGTTGATCCTCCTTAAGTGAGAGCTACAGCTAAATCTCTCTGTTGCAATGGGATCTTACACCTAAGCCCTGTAACCATTATCACAGAAAGGTCGCCTTTTTCTAACAGAGCGGTGCGGATGTGAATGCCAAGGACATGCTGAAGATGACCGCTTTACACTGGGCCACAGAGCACCACCATCGAGATGTCGTTGAGTTACTTATCAAATATGGAGCTGATGTCCATGCTTTTAGCAAATTTGACAAGTCTGCCTTTGACATAGCACTGGAGAAAAACAATCCTGAGATTCTGGTCATCCTTCAGGTATGGTTCCTTGATCTTCCCCAAAGTACACTTCAGCTTATAGACTATTTTGAGAGAGCTGAATTTTCCCCATTTTATCAAAATAGCACTTCTATCATGCTTCAATCATATGACTCTGTGTTAGCATCTCTCTCTCTCTTTCTCTCTCTTTCACACATACACACACACACACACACACACACCACACACACTCTCACACACACCCAGTGGAGACAGGGTCTCAAGTAGCCCAGGGTGATCTCAGATTTTGAACGTAGCTAAAGATGACTCTTGATCCTCCTGTTTCTGCCTCACATATGCTAGAATTACAGGCTGTATACTGTGCTTGGCCTTTGTTTTGAGACAGTCTCACTGTGAAGTCAGAGCTAGCCTCTCCAATCAGGCCTTCCCTTAGGTTTTTTTGTTTTGTTTTGTTTTGTTTGTTTTTTTTTAATAGGATTATAGAAAGTCCTGAATTGTTTGTGGTAATTAGAGAGCAATATTTTGGGACTACTCAGTGCTGACATTGTAGAGCAGAACTCTACATGTCTTTTCTGGTTCTGAGAGTTGCCCAATTTATGGAAATGTAGCCAGAAAAAAAGAACATTTATTTGACTGTCCATTGCTTTTCTCTCCATTAAAGTTTCCATTTCTAGTTAAACTAGACTTGACAATCTTAAAAGTCACGGGCTGGGCACAGTGGCACACTCCTTTGATCCTAGCATAGTAGGGAGAGACAGGTAAATCTCTTGAGTTTGAGTTTGAGGCCACCTTGGTCTACAAAGCGAGTTCCAGTCCAACCAGGGTTACATAGTAAGACCCTGTCTCAAGACAAGAAAGAAAAAAGGTTTGTTGCTGCTGGAGATACGGTTCTGCAATCAAAAATACTTACCAGTGGGCGATAGTGGTGCACACCTTTAGTCCCAGCACCTGGCAGGCAGAGGCAGGTGGAGCTCTGTGAGTTTGAGGCCAGCATGGTCTACAAAGGGAGTTCTGGGACCACTGGAGCTGTTACACATCAAAAGCCTGTTTCAAAAAACCAAAAAAAAGAAATAACACAATACTTACCAGTCTTGAAAAGGACCTAGATTCAGTTCCCAGAACCCACATAGGGTAAATTACAACTGCCTAAATTTCAGTTCCAGGGGATCGTATTTCCTCCTCTGCCCTCCATTGGCACCTGTGCACACATGGTACACATAAACTCATATAGGCACGTGCGTGCAGAAACACACACACACACATTAAAAAGAAAATCATTTTAATAAGAAAGAAAGTTGTTCTCGGGGCTGGTAGATAGCTTAGTCGGAAGGTGTGTCTTGTAAACACGAGAAACTGAGTTTGATCCCCAGAACCCAAGCACAAAAGCCAGGAATGGGCCGGTGAGGCGACTCAGTGGGTAAAGGCTCTTGCTGCCAATTCTAACAGCCTGAGTTCAATTTCCAGTACCCCCCCTTTAATAAGAAAATCAACTCCTGCAAGTGTCCGCTGACCTCCTATCATAAGACAGACTTCTGGGGAGACAGAACACATGCTGCCTACTCACTCCAGAAAGGGAGTCCATGGCAGATCAAAGTAGTGATATGTACACCAGATTCAGTTTGGTGAAGCAGTGAATTTGTATTGTGGTTATTAACGGAAGAGTGGATGAGGGCATCTTATAAGGAGCAGAGATTTAACAGAAAAGCAGCTCTGTCACCAGGACACCCATCCCAGCGTGGACAGCTGCAGCCCTGGAGCACTCTAGCCGGCTACAGGGAGCTCCACTTCCTAACATGTGAAGTTGGCTGGCCAGAGTCTCTCCCCACAACTGTTGACACACTGATGGCAGGGGCCCTCGGGAATCCTCCAATCCTCTGTTCTCTGCTGTGTGGCTTTTCACTGGTCGCCTCTCTTTTCTCTCTGGAGCGGATGTTGCAATTTAGAGGGGATGTTACAAATTAGAGGAATTCATGCCTTAGCATTTATGCATGTGTGTGTGCCCTGGCACACTACTGCACATATGTACACACACGACAAATAAATTGTAATTAAAAAATGTGGAAAACGGCTGCAGAAACAATGTGTTTATAATCTCAAAGTTGGGGGAGCAGAGACAGCTCTCCAGAGCTTGCTGGGCAATCAGCGTTGTTTACTTGATGAGCTCCAGACCAATAAGAGCCTACCTCAGAAAAACAAGGGAGCTAGCATCTGAGAAACAATACTCAGGGTTGTCCGCAGGCTGCACCCTCCCGCACATACACCTCACACAGTCGCTCTCCAGTCAAGGTGGCACATGTTTATCTAATCCACCATTGTGAATTACATGGAGGTAGAAGGCATAGAAGCTCAAATGGCAGCTTCAGCTACATAGCAAATTTAAGTCCCACCTGGGCTACTTGAGACCCTGTCTCAGAAAAACAAAATCCAAATAAAAAACCAACAGTCCTGCGCCTGTGGCATATTTGTACGATGCCTCAGTGTCTCTCCTCATACCCACACGAGGGAAGCGAATACCCAGACCTGAAGGCAGAGACCCCACCTCTCTACTCCCGCGCCCTTCACCTGTTCCCCATAAAGGCAGATCCTGAAACCATCAAAAATTGAATTAAAAGAAAACAAAAAATTATATTTAGGGGATGACTTAGTGGGTAAGGGCTTTTGCTGCCAAGCCTGAAACCTGCGTTCAAGTCCCTGGAACCCACGTGCTAGAAAGTGAAACCCAGCTCCTGACAGTTGTCTTCTGACCCTCGTGTGCGTGCACACATGCACACTGACTAAAAACACACCACTAATCCCAGCACTCAGGATGCAGAGGCAGGCGAATCTCAGAATTCTAGACTGTTCCAGTCTGTATCCTGAGTTCCCAAAGAGAGCTACACAGTTTTTTTGGTGAGAGAGGGGTGTTTCAAAACAGAGTTTCTTTGTGTAGATAAGACTGGTCTGCCTCTGCCTCCTGAGTGCTGGGATTAAAGGTGTGTGCCATCACCATGTGGCTTACACAGAGAGTCTTAAAAAATAAGTAAATAAATTTAAGTGTGGAAAAAAAATTTAATTGAGTCAGTAAAATGGCTCAGGTAGAGGCACCTGCCACGTCTGATGACCCAATTTTGATTCTCTGACCCCACATGGTGCAAGGTGCCCATGGTTTTCTGACCTCTACGTGCATATGCCCATCCCCCCATACACACACAATAATAGAATTCATTTCTCAGGGAAAAAAAGATTCTGTGCTAGAAAGACATAAATGGAAAACAGAGAGATGTGAGATGACATGGAAGGGCTGGAGAACAAGTGCAGTTCTGCAGTTTGGGGAGGCGGACGGGCGCTGGGGCTCTTGTTCCGGGGCTGTGAAGTAGCTTCTTATGTGGGCACTGGGAACATAGTAAAAGCTTTTTTTGTTTTATTTTGTGTGTTTTTAAAAGTGGGTTTCCCTGTATAGCCTAGTTTTCCTGGAACTGGCTTTGTAGACCCAGCTGTCCTTAAAATTACAGAGAGCCACCTGCCTCTGCCTTCTGAGTGCTGGGGTTAAAGCTGTACCACCACCCAAGGCTGGAAGCTTTGTTTGTTTGTTTTGTTTTGAATGGGGGTAGAAAGATGACCACGTGGCTCTGCTTCACCTGGTAATTGCTATCTAGTCCGAGCTGACCTCAAACTCAACATGATCCTGTTTCAGCTTTTGGAGTGCTGCTGGGATTACAGTTTGAACTGCTTCATATGGATTTAGAAACTCAGATTCAGGACTGATGTGATTGTTTTAAAACGGTAATTGGAGTTGGCACACACATTGGATGGAGAAGACAATGATAACTAGCATATGATTGCTTCCTTCAGGCTAGACCAGCCTGCCCGTGCTTCCTCTGGGAAGTTGGTAGAAGGTAGAAGAAGTAGCAGATGAAGAAGGAGTTTAACAGTATCCGGAGAATGGATAATCTGTCTCAATTGCAGTCCTCAGTCAAGGGGATAATTACATACGAAAAATAGCTGCTTTTGCATCTTCAGTTTTTGTTTGTTTTCATGACAGATGGTTTTACAAAGACTGGTTATTCTCCTCAACTTTCAGTTATTGTCCAAAGTCCTTTCATAACTGTACTTTTTAGTAGTTATGTTTGTAGAAAACTTCTGAGAGTAAGAATGCAAGATAAGGATCTTTTCACCAAATTGAGCAGACATCCTCGGAAGCAAGGGTGTAGCGCATGGAACTAGACTTCAAAACCTGCTACTCATTTATCTGCTTGTTATATGTTCTCTGAGGAGTTTCTTCAGTGGCAGAATGGAACAGGTTGTGGGATAAACTCTAGAGAATATTGTTCTCTGCAGGGATCTTCTACTAGCACCTTGTCTTGTAGATAACTGGTCACAGAATATAGGTGCTGCAAAATGCCTTTTAGACTGTCCAGACCAGTTTCTTCCCTTTTTTTTTTTATTTTCTCTTTACACGTTTGAGGTTAAGTGGAGCATGTGAAAGCTTTGTGACTAGCGCAGCCTTGCTTTCTCAAACAGAAGCAAGCCCGGGAAAGCCAGCTGCTTCAGTAGAGAAAAAGGTCGTAGCTCCCTGCCATCCTATGCAGGCTAGTTCTGCCTGCTGGAGCACTGGTAGGGAGGGCCATTCAGCAACTGTATGACTAAAGTTCTGACTTTGCCATATTCTGGTTTGTTTGGTAGGAAGCAATGCAGAATCAGGTGAGCGTCAACCCCGAGAGAGCCAACCCAGTGAGCAACCCTGTGACTGTGGCTGCTCCATTCATCTTCACCTCTGGAGAGGTCGTTAACCTCGCTAGCTTTGTCTCTTCAGCCAACACCAAAGCATCCGCAGGTAATGCTCGGATAATGAGACATCTATTTTAAGCATAAAAATGAGCAGAATCCCATTTTCCTATGGATAGTCTGTCTAATTACCACTATTATAAAAATTCCCTAAATGATGCTGGGATTAAAGATCTGCTAAAGCCATGGACTAAATCTCCAGTACCACAAAAAAGGAAAGGAAAAACATTTCTCAAATGGTTGTTTTTCAGTGTAGACATTGAACTTGGGGCCTCACACTCTGGATCTGTGTTCACAGCCCATTCTTTTTCTTCTTCTGTTTGTTGTTTGTTTGGTTTATTTTATTGTCAAACAGACAAACAGGGGGCTGGAGAGAAGAGTCAGCAGTTAAGAGGGTTTACTCCTTTGGCAAAGACCTGGGTTCTCTTCTCAGCACCCACATCAGAAGGCTCATAACTGCCTGTTGTAACTTCAGTTCCAGGGGATCCAATTCCCTCTGGCCTTTGGGATACCTGCACACATGTGATGCACATAAACTCATTCAGGTACATACATATATGCAGAAGTAATTTTTTAAAACCTAGCACATTAAAAGTTTTTGATTGCTAGTGACTTGATAGCCCTGTATGTTCCAGCCTCCATGGAAAGAAGCAGATGGCGACCACTGCTGCACCGTAGAGTGCTGCGTAGCAAGCACACAGCCCTGGGTTCCGTATCCAGTATGACACCAACACAATTTATCTAAAACTTGCTTAATCATTGGCTTATTTGGGGAGGGTTTGTGAGTTCTTACATTAGCCTTGCTGTGACAGTCTAAAAGATAGGAAAAACAGGGACCCAACAGAATATTCAGGACTAACAGGCAGCTGAGTCTGCAGTCCCAGCACTTGAAAGGCTAAGGCAAGAGGATATGGATGACACAGTAAGATCCTGGCTCTTCCTCCCACCCTCACCCCGTACACACGCACATACACGCACACACAAAGGAGGCCAGCATAGCCTAATCAGGGAACCCCAGGTTCATGATTTCAAGAGAGACCATGTTTCAGGAGAACAAAATGGCCACTTCCTGGGGAACAGCATCTGAGGCCGACCCCTGCCCTCTGCATGAACATACATACACTCCATACAAAAAAAGTATACCAACAGGCTGAAGCCTGCACTCTAGGGACTGCCCATCCCACTGCCCTCTTGCAGTATGTTCAGCAAATTATTCTGCCTCAAAAAATGTAATTATACGTAAAGAAATATGCATGTGTGTGCATCTGTCCATATGTCAATTTTTAAGGCAGTCTTACTTAGCTTGGGCTAGCCTGGGACTTTCGATCTTCCACCCTCTACCTCCTTAGTGTGTCCCTCCCTGCTGGGACTAGAAACCAGGACTTCAGCAGCCAGGCACCTTTAATCCCAGCACTCGGGAAGCAGAGGCAGGTAGATCTCTGTGAGTTCCAGGACAGCCAGGGATACACAAAGAAACCCTGGCTCAGGGGGGGAAATAGGTATTGAAATACACAGGCATGTTCCTGCTCCCTTCTCATGTTTATCTCGTGTGCTTAAGCTTGGCTGGAAATACAGTGCTGGCATTTCCAGTATAGTCGGGCAGATGCGCTGCAGAATGCCCTTCTAATAATGAAAACAGTAAGTTTTCAGGGACTGGCAAGATGTCCCAGCAGGTAAGAGCTTCTACCAGGAACTCACATGGTAGATAGAAAACCAATTTTCACTTGTGTCTTTATGACCTCAATCTGTGCACCGTACATACAAAGTTAAAAAAAAATTCAAGTTACTTAGCCAGTGTTGGTAGCGTGTAAAAAAAAGCTTTATGAATTTATATAGCTGGGGCAGGTAATTGGAGGTAGGGCTCCGCATGCAGTCTCCTAAAAACTCCAGAAGCAGCTGTCGACTACACTTTCTTTTTCTTTTTCTGTTTTTTGTTTGTTTGTTGTGGGTTTTTTTGTTTGTTTGTTTTTTGTTTTTCAAGACAGGGTTTCTCTGTAGCTTTGGAGCCTGTCTTGTAGCTACCTCTTGTAGACCAGGCTAGCCTCGAACTCACAGATATCCACCTGTCTCTGCCTCCTGAGTGCTGGGATTAAAGGTGTGTGCCACTACTGCCCAGCTTTTTTTTTTTTTTAAAGACTATTTATTATGTATACAGCATTCTGTCTGCATGTATGCCTACACACCAGAAGAGGCACCAAATCCCATTATTGATTGTTGTGAGCCACCATGTGGTTGCTGGGAATTGAACTCACGACCTCTGGAAGAGCAGCCACCTTTAACCCCAGCCCTCAGGAGACAGAGTCTGGCAGGTCTCTTGAGTTTGAGGCCAGCCTGGTCTACAGAGTGAGTTCTAGTCCTTGGAGCTGTTCAAGAAAGTGAGTGGTGTCAGGAGAAACGTATGTTGGATTGGGGTGAATCACTTAAGTTCTCCAGGTCACTAGTTGCTCATCCGGCCTGGTTGTCTTAGATTTCCACTGTAACATTCAGACTTGGTGCTTTCTCTGGGTGCGGATCAAAAAGTGTTCAGTGTTTCTGAATTAGGGGCTCATGGGTCTCAACTCCGGCTCCCCTTGCCTCTACCTCCCAAGGACTAGGAATACAGCTGCTTGCTACCATGCCCAGTTTATCCTTCATTTCTGTGAGGTGCCAACAGGTCGTTTTCATTGACTTTCCTGTGGATGGGATGGCCACGCTCCACGGAGGCCAAGTTCCTGGTGACTTTCAGTCTGTGACTCCTGTTAAGAAGGAGAAGCTTCCCCTGGCCTGTGGGTTATTGACCAGCCAATGCCAACGGCACCCACACAGATAGACTCTCAGGAATGGACCTGGCGCACAGTGGGGAGTCTATAGTGTTAGCTCTTGTTTATGTGTCAGATGGGAAAGGCCACTTCCATGCGGCTCATCTGTTAACTTTTACCCATTGATTGCTTACTATAATGTTTTACTAGTTCACTGTTAAATGTCACCATATTCTTAAATTATCTATACTAATTTACAGGGTTTTTTTTTTTTCAAGTTTCATATATTTACTTAGACTTTAAAAATGATGCCTAAAAATGGGATTCTAAGATCTTGGGGAAACACAGCATGTCATACACTACAGGAGAAATTCAAGTGCTCAGTAACCTGTTAAAACTGGTGATACTGGCCCAGACAAAAAGTGTAACACACACACTCACACTCACACAGGCTAGGATGTAATTCAGGTTGAATGTTTGCCTAGCTTTCACAAGTCACAAGGTCCAGGGGTTTTTTGTTTATTTGTTTGTTTTGCTGAGACAGGGTTTCTTGCATGAAGCTGCCTGGAATTCCCTCTGTAGACCATGCTGACCTTGAACTCATAGAGACCCACCCACCTCTGCCTCCAGAGTGCTGGGTTTAAGTGTGTACCACCACCACCTAGTTCAAGATCCTGGCGTGTTAGCTCACACTTGAAATCCCAGCACTTGTGAGGTAGATGCAGGAGGATCAAGAGTTCAAGATCATCCCCAACTCCACTGTGAATTTAAGGCCAACCTGGACTACGTGAGACCCTGTCCCCTATCCCACTACCCCTAAAAAGTATATATACTACTTGGGTTTCTTTGACATGGGGTCTCACATAGCTCAGGTTGGCCTCAGACTCTATATGCAGCTTGGAACTTGAGATCCTCCTGCCTTTGTCTCCCAAATAGGATTTATCATGCCCCGTCACACCTGGAAAGTTTAAGTGCATTCGAACTAGCCTTTCAAAATGTATTTATTCGTAGCACCAATCTCTTTTTGTTATTTGAGACTTGGATCTTTGTTTTTGTTTTTTGTTTTTCTGTTTTTTGAGAAGGAATCTCACTACATAGCCCAGGCTGGCCTGGAAGTCAAGGCATTTCTCCTGCCTCAGGATCCTCAGTGCTGTGATTGCAGTGTACGCTGCCAACTGCACCGAGGACCTCTTTATTGAACACTGCTAACATCTAGGTGAGGACATTTTTAGAAAATACTTTTCTAAGCCGGGCGATGGTGGCACACGCCTTTAATCCCAGCACTCGGGAGGCAGAGGCAGGAGGATCTCTGTGAGTTCGAGGCCAGCCTGGTCTACAGAGCTAGTTCCAGGACAGGCTCCAAAGCCACAGAGAAACCCTGTCTCGAAAAACCAAAAAAAAAAAAAAAAAAAAAAAGAAAATACTGTTCTAGCAGCATCCCTGTGTTCTTCTCTCCTGACTGGTTACTCATTAAAGCTTTTCTGGAAGATTATTGGTGCTCAGTCCTGTCGTCCTGGACTTAGAAGGCTGAGACTGGCTGAGTTGTCTGGGTATAGAAGACCCTACCTCTGCCGGGCGATGGTGGCGCACGCCTTTAATCCCAGCACTCGGGAGGCAGAGGCAGGCGGATCTCTGTGAGTTCGAGGCCAGCCTGGTCTACAGAGCTAGTTCCAGGACAGGCTCCAAAGCCACAGAGAAACCCTGTCTCGAAAAAAACAAAAACAAACAAAAAAACAAACAGAAGACCCTACCTCAAAAAAAAAAATCAACCAAAAAATTTATTTTCCAAAAAGAAGATGAAACTTGTAATATATATATATGACATTTTGAATTCACTTTTGTTATCCCTAGCTAATTTAGAGGAAATCGAAGAAGGAAATTCACTTGACTCATCAATCCAGCAAGTGGTGGGGAGTGGCGGCCAGAGGGTCATCACCATAGTGACTGATGGAGGGCCTCTGGGTAATATCCAGACCTCACTCCCTACTGGAGGCATTGGCCAGCCCTTTATTGTAACAATGCAAGATGGACAGCAAGGTAAGTTATATCTAGTAGACATTTGCTTATTTAAAGATATTTTATTTATTTATTTTTGTTTTTTGAGACAGAGTTTCTCTGTGTAGCTCTGTCTGTCTTGGAACTCATACTGTAGACCAGGCTGGCCTAAAACTCACAGAGATCTGCCTGGGATTAAAGGTGTGAGCCACCACCTTGAGCTGCTCTCAAAGTCTTAATCTGTACCTCAGCCTGGCCTCAAACTCACCATGTAACCTGGGGGACCCTAAACTCAGAGCAGTCTCCCCACCTTAGTTTCCTGGGCACTGGAATTATAGGTGTGTGCCACTACCCTCTACTTTATTTATTTATTTAGAAACGGCATCTCTCATAGCACAGCTGGCCTCAAACTCACGTAATAGCCAAAGATGACCTTGAATTCCTGTTGCTCTTGCTTCAACTTCCCAAATACTAGGATTATTGGCATGAGCCATCATTCCAGACTCAAAGTTTTGACTTCTCTTCCTGTCTCTCTCTTTTTTTCCTTTCTCTTTCTTTCTTTCTTTTCTCTCTCTCTCCTCTCTCTCTCTCTCTGTGAAAGAGAGAGAGAGATGTCTTGCTTGCTGTGTATCTTTGGCTAACCTGGGACTCACTATGTAGACTAGGGTGGCACAGACAAAGCTGCCCTTCTGCCTTAGCCTCTTGAGTACTGACATCACAGGCCTGCACCACCATATTTGGCTGAAGGTCTTTGTCTTAAGAACCTGAGGCCTTCGTGGTTTCTGAGCTGCGGTTCTTTCCTTCCTTGGCGCTACTTCTTTCCTGATTTCTTTTTTTGTGACTTTAAGTTACCTTTTGACTTCAAACTCTGTGTTTTGTTGTTTGGGTTTTGTTTTTTGAGACAGGGCTACAGAGAGCTCTGCTGTTGACCAGGCTGAGCTTGAATTCAGAACTATGCCTACCTCCTGAGCACGGGGACTAAGGACTAAGCTAAAGAGTCTAAGCTCTATAAAGAGATATCACAACAATGTACGGGGGTGAGGGGATGGATATAACCTGTGTTAGAACACTTCTCTTACATACAAGAAGCCATGCCAAAAATAATAATATGAAGTTCACTTTTTTCTAGTAAGGCAAAAAAGCCTTCTCTGTGTGCTGTGTGCTCATTGTCTCCTATGGGTGTGCTTGGCTTGTAGTTCTAACTGTGCCTGCTGGTCAGGTTGCAGAGGAGACAATAATTGAAGAGGAAGAAGAGGAAGAAGAGAAGTTGCCATTGGCAAAGAGACCAAGGATGACAGAGATAACTAACAGTATTGAGGAAAGCAAGGTAATGAGATTCTTCTCATAAGAGAGAGAAGGAGTGGAAGCCCTAGTGATTGGAGGTGAAGCCCTCTTCATCTTTCTGTCTGCTGTCTGAATACTCTGTTGTCAGGAATTCTTACTGTAGTGACACTGTTTGCTCTACAGGAAGGCAGCGAAAGAGAGCTACTGCAGCAGCAGCTCCAGGAGGCCAATCGGAGAGCCCAGGAGTACAGGCACCAGCTTCTCAAGAAAGAGCAGGAGGCAGAACAGTACCGGCTCAAGCTGGAGGCCATGGCGCGACAGCAGCCCAATGGAGTTGAGTTCACCGTGGTTGAGGAGGTAGCTGAAGTGGATGCTGTCGTAGTGACAGAAGGGGAAATAGAAGAAAGAGCAGCAGAAGTGATGAAGTCAGGAAGGACCACAGAGCCTCACACTAGTGTTTCCATAGAAACCATTTCATCTTAACACGCAAAGGCCACAACTTGCACTCATTCATCTTATTTTTAAGAAGAAAATACAGAGGGCAAGCACTGTGTACAAATTAAGACTGTCTTTAAGAAGGGAACAGTAGCAGGGCTCAGTGCCTGGGCCAGGAAAGCTGTTTGTGCAGCTAGAGACTCAGAGCCACGTTAGGGGCATTTAAAGGACCAAAGGACCAGGACCAAATCTCTCAGCTCACGTCATTGCTTTAAACAGAGTACTGAGCATTGCGGGTTGATTTTTTTTTTTTATAAAAAATAATTAACTTTATATCAAAAGATTTTAAGATAATACTTGTAATACATATACACCAAGAGCCTTTAATAATTATTCCTGAGATCTCCAAGTGATCTGAAGTTTGCCTTACTTAGGTTTATGAACTGCTAAGGTTGTAGGAAGACTCTTCGCAAGGATGAAGAAAAGATACCGTACATTCCTTGCTTTTCCTTTTTTTTTTTTTTTTTTGGTGGAGAAGTTCAAGATAGGGTTTCTCTCTGTAGCCCTGGCTGTCCTGGAACTAACTCTGTAGACCAGGCTGGCCTCAAACACACAGATCTGCCTGCCTCTGCTTCCCGAGTGCTGGGATTAAAGGCGTGCGCCACCACCACCCGGCTAAAGCTACCATACATTTCTGAGAAGCAAGCACACGGGCTGCTCCTAGTTAATCCATGGGCTAGGAACAGTAGTACATACCTGTAATGCCAACGCTCAGGAAACCGAGACAGCCAGTGAGTGTGAGGTCAACAGGAGCTAGAGAGACTCCTTCGGTGAAAGAGGGCCAGATGCCCTTTTCTGGCCTCTGGGAACACCCTGGCATATACATACAAATAAAAATTAAAAAGTTAAGTAAGTTAGTTGACCGCCAAGGTTTGCCCTTCAGGATCATGAGACTACCACGAGATTGAAGCCAACTTGAGCTCCATAGTGAATTACAGTGCAGCCGGGCTACAATGTGGGGCCTTATGCAAGAAAAGAAAATCAAATCGTGTGGTGGTGCACACCTCTTCCAGCACTCAGGTGATAGAGACAGGTGCATCGCTCTGAATTTGAGACCTGCCTAGTCTACAAAGAGAGTTAATGGAATGGCCAGCACTACATACAGAGACCCTGTCTCAAAGAAAAAGAAAAGAAAAGAAAGCAGAGAAAGCTGACTTGTGATTGCCAATAAATTGTATGTTCATAGCTTAGACGTCATTTAAAAAAAAAAAAACAAAATTAAACTAGGCATAGTGTCGCGTGCTTGTAATCCCAGCACTTGTGAGGCTAAGACAGGAGGATCACTGCAAGTTCAAGGTCAGCTTTGACTATTGTAAGATTTTTCTTTAAAAAAGAAACAAAATGACTAGACTTGATGACCCTCATCCCTGTACTCGGGAAGCAGAGGCAGGCAGATCTTTGGGGTTCTAACTAGCCTGGTCCACATAGTGAGTTCCTGGCCAGCCTGGGCTACATAGACCCTAACTAACAATAGCAAAAAATCTGAGGACATTGCTCAGTGGGACAGCATGTTGCCTAGCTTGCAAGGAAGTCCCTGGGTTCCTCCTTTGGTGCTGTATGTACACAACAAAAACGAGGGGCAGGAAAGCAAAGAGAAAAACAATTAACATCAAACTTTTAATGCCAGAAAGAAATTTTACTTACGTTATGGGGAGTGTGTGTGTAAAGCCTGTGTCCCTCCTGAGACTGGGCGGTCTCAGAATGAGGCTTCTGAGCTATGAAGCTCTGGTCTTGAGATGGAAACTGTATGAACGTTATAAGACTACAATCAGGAGGGTCGTCAGAACATTGCTTCTAAACATCTGTTTATATAAATCAAGTTTGAACCTCTAAATTGTATAAAGTTGGGTTGAATGTTGTGTGTCACGTAGGACATTGGTGCTTTCCTGCAGCGCTTATCATCCTGTGACGAAGGCCAGCGCTGTGCAGGCCTGTTTCTGTTGACTGCTGCTTTTGCTAATGTGGGCCAATAGAGCGCTGTGCCTTAAGGTGTGTAGGACAGGTGACAAAGGGGGCAGGGGTCACTGCCACAGAGCAGAGAGCCATACATCCAAGCCCTTGCTGTCTTCCCCTCTCTCTTACTCTGCTCAGACACTTTTGCATAGATTTTCAGTGCTGGGTTGTTGAGGTGGGATTGGGCAGGTCTCTGTTATTAACATGAAGTAGTTTTTGTTTGTATAGCTGGGCACTGCGCTCTTGCCTGTAATCTCAGCATTCAGGAGGCTACAGCAAGAAAGTTGACATGAGTTTGAGGCCAGCCTGAACTACAGTGTGAGAACCTGTCTCAAAAACAAGGCAGCTGAGCATTGTGGCTCATGCTGATAATGCCAGCTCAGAAGGCTGCTGCAGGAGGTTGCCTGCACTCTGAACGTAGTGAGCTCTCTAAGACAGCATGAGCCACAGAGACACCTGTCCATCCTCGTCTTCCCACCCCCTCCCCTTTCCCCAGACAGGGTTTTTCTATGTAAACCTGGCTGTCCTGGAACTTACTCTGTAGACCAGGCTGGCCTTGAACTCACAGAGATCTTACTGCCTCTGCCTCTCCAGTGCTGGGATCAGAGGTGTGCACCCTAGCTGCGACACCTGTCTTAAAGAGAAAAGAAAGGGCTGAGACTGTAGTTCAGGAAGAGCCCTTGCCTGTCATTTTATCAGATCCTAGTTCAATCCTTAGGACTGCAAAAAACAATATTTTTAAAAGTTTAAACAGGATGTGATAGTACATGTCTATAATCTCAGAACTGGTAGAGGGAGGCACGAGGTCAGAGGTTGAGGACCATCCTTGGTTATTTAACAAGTTTGAGGCCAGTTTACCCCCTCCCCCCCATCTCCCCTAAGAGGGAAAGGTACCTGATAACAGAGGGAAAGGCCATGTAGACTTTTTATTGGAAATTAGAAGAAGCCAGAAGGGCATGTGCCAAGTGTACACCTGAATGACTGTTGAGAATATAGTTTCCTAATTAGTGATCATGAAGAAAATGGGTATTTTAGCCTGGAAAAAGCTTGGCAGTTAACATGGTTCTGTTTACCTTGATTAGTATAATAATTTGTGCAGTGTTCCAGAGGTGTGGATTCATTTTTGGCTCAAACATAATTCTCTAACTCATATTGAACAAACAGAATGGACTGTTAGGTTTATAGGCAAAAATAGCTGTTTTCAAATGACTCTTGGCTGCTGGCACCCTGACTAGGTCTGCTCTGTGTGTCCGAGCATCAGAGACTGTTCTAGTGCCTCAAGAGTGTCTGGAAGCATAGTGGAGGGATCTGTGTGTGTCTGATACCTGGGAATGGGGTGCTAGCAGTAAGCTGCTGTGTGTGGCATCTCAGAGCCATGGCTAACTAGAGGGAGCAAGTTTCCACTTAGATGACTGTGTTTACATTCTTGGAGCGTATGTTGACTTTAATTCCCTCCCACCTTTTAAGGGGATGGAGAGTGTCTGCAGAGACTGTCCACGCCTAACCACCTCATTACCTTGCTAGTTACTGTGGGGATGGATCTGTCCATCTACTCCTCCCCTCTGAGCAGAGCTTCTACCTTAGGGGAGCCTGCTTCATTGTTCCAAGTTAATTTTGAACATGAGGTCTCCGTTGTTCATCTCAAAATGGAAGTAGGTTTTTCTTTTCAGTTATACAGTCATGAAAATGAAAGGGTGTTGTAGAAGACTCTTTCAGTTAGTTAAAAATGTAGGTATTGGATAGCCAAGCATGGGGCACATGTGAAATCCCAGCATTGAGAGGATGAAGCAAGAGGCTCAGGAGTTCGAGGCCACACTGGGCTACATGACGGCACTGTCTCAAAAACAAAGATAGGACTGGTTAAGAACACGACACACAAGTGTGAAGGCCCAAATTCAGATCCTAGCACCCTCTCTAGCAAGTCCTGGTCCCTGGAGCACCCATAACCCTAACCCATTAGCAGGCTGAGGACGAAGGGTTACTGGGGTTCAGATTCAGGGAGCAACCCTGTCTCAAAGGAGCACAACAGAGTAGTGGAAGAGGACACCCAAGGTCTCTTCTCCCTCCACACACAGGCACATACCCCACACTCACACACAAGGAACTGGGGAGGAGAAATGAAAATACACTAAGACTATCTCCTGACTTCATGTAGCCTTCTAGGTCAGCCTTTTGTAAGTTTGTTGCTTTTTAAAGACAGGGCCTCACTCTGTAGGTTGACTTCAGACTCAGGGCAATCCTCCTGCCTCAGCCTCTTGAGTGCTGGGACTATAAGTGTGAGCTCCACATCGGACTAGGTCAATTGAGAAGATCTACCGTGGATCTTCGGGGTGAAGAGGTCCAGCTGATTGTGAAGGCTGGGTATATGAGAATCAATAGCAGAGGAGCTGTCTGGGGCTGCAGCTCAGCAGAATGCCGGCCTAGGGACTCGGCTCCAGGGCAGCTGCTGCGTGAATGTCAGTGCTGTGCTAATTCAGGGATGTAACCCCACATTTGCATCTGGGTTGTAAGTGTTTCCCCCCAAAAAAAGAAAAAAAGAATGTTACAACTTCTGTTCTTCCTCCTTCAGGGAAATTGATAACAAATGTGTAAATGTGCCTTCCCTTCACATTCTGCTTCTGTGGGGGCTTGTCATTGTGATGCCAAAGCGGAGCCCTCGTGGCTGCTATAGGAGGAGGGGCCTCAGGGGGGTTGCTCCGAACTCTATGCCTTAAAAGATACTCTGTCAGATGTATATGTTCTTTTGTTTTTTTCCAGACAGAATCTCACTGTGTAGTTCTGACTGGCAAGAAACTTGCTATGTAGTCCAGGCTAGCCTCAAATCTAGAGATCCATCTGCCTCTGCCTCCTGAGTGCTGGGATTAAAGATGCCTGGCAACAGATAGTTTTTATATCCCTTTGCTGGGTGCATGTTAGTATAAATGTATGTAAATGCATAATCTTTCCCAGTTTTCTCTTTGCGGTTCAGCTCTAAATTATCTGGGATAACCTGGAAGCTTATTAAATATATAGATAGGGTTTTTAATCCCCTTAATCCACTGGGGAGCAGGGAATAGGAAAACAGTGAATAAGAGAAAATATGAGCGTTGAGGCCCAAGGAGCTGGTTCATGCTCACAAGGGAAGCCAGCGGGTAAGTGCAAAGACACCATGGTCAGTGCACAGCGACCAAAATGAGCTTCCCTCTGTGGCCGTTTGTCTTTTCCTCCTGTTGAAGCTGCCTTGACACTTAGAAAAACCCTCAGAGATGGGTGTGGTGAAGCACATATTTAGCCCCAGGACTCAGGAAGCGGAGGCAGGTGGATCTCTGTAAGTTCCAGGCCAGCTTGGGCTACACGGTTAGACCCTGTCTCAAAAGAAAAGCCTCCAGGCTTCTGGACAGGGAAGAGCCCGGATGAGGGGCTGTGGAACTGAGCTCTGAAGCTCTACTTCCCCAGCTCAGCACCTCACCTTGCGAGAAATAACTTACTCCGAGAAAGCTTGTGTGGCTGTCCCTACGTCAGCCACCTCCAGGTGGCCCATGGTGAACTCCTGTCAGAGTCTGACAATGAGCAGGGGTTCCTTTTTGTCCCAGTTCCTGGAGACCAGCTTTCTCTTCTCTCCTCATGCAGACAGACGTTTCTGTCAAGGCCACCAGTATGCACTTTAACTTCTTACCTCCTTTTTGTGTTTTGTTTTGCTTCGAGACAGGGTCTCTCTCACCCTAGCCAGGCTGACCTGGAACTCACTGTGCGACCTAGGCTAGCCTCAGATTCACAGCAGTCCGATGCCATGGCCTCTCACGCCCTGGCTTACAGATGTGTCACCGTGACAGACCGGCTCTAACCCTGTCGGAGTCACGCTCTGTTTCCTTTACTCACAGGAAGGATGTTAGATTTAATAGCCTTGGGCCTCTGGTGCTGTCCTTCTGAAGGCTTTAACCTCTGGGGCTGGGGGAGGAGGATCATCCTAAACTCTGCAGTAGTAAGTGATTTGTTACAGTCAGGAAGTTGTGACCCTCTTTGTCTTCCCTGACCCCCACCCACCACTTCTGTACCTTCCATCCCTCAGCTCTTGTGGTAGGAAGGCTTTGCCCGGCACTGGAACGTAATTAATTGGTCGGTCATCTCTAATCTTCCGGGCTCCCCTTTCTCTCTCCTCCTCCCCACCACGTTTTGCTCCGAGGTGATTTGTTTCTGAGAATTAACTAGGTTATACTTTCTATCTGTGTTCCCACTTGGTTTCTGGCATCTTGGATGTCAACTGTTACAGTAGCAGCTCAGCTCCCCGGCCTCAGCCTCGCCCAGTGTGTCCTTCTGCCAAGGCCATTGGGAGGCGGATGCCCAGGAGTCTTTACAGTGTCCTCTTGTTCTTCAAGTTGTCTGGCAGCTTTGTGTACAGAAAAATTGCAGGAAAACTTAAATAAAAGTTTCTTTTTTATTTAGGATAAAATACTTCCATTCTAATGAGCAAGCGTGTGTGTACATGTGTGTGAATGAGCATTTATGTACATATACCTATACAGATCTATATTATATATACAGTTTTGTACTATCATTTAAAATAAAGACATTTCTTAATAAAACATTAGTGTTGTTAAAGTCTTTGGCAAAGAATGTTTCTGCTCTCTCTGTTACAATGAACCAGCCAAACTAAACTTAAGGTGTGTGCCGCAGGCCCAGCACCCAAATCTCACCTCAGTGTCTTTATTTTCTTTTATTTTGAGACAGGGTTCCGTGTGTGTGTGTGTGTGTGTGTGTGTGTGTGTGTGTGTGTGTGTTTATGTTTGAGACAGGGTTTCTCTGTAGCTTTGGAGCCTGGAGCCTGTCCTGGAACTTGATCTGTAGACCAGGCTGGCCATGAACATGAGATCCACCTGCCTCTGCCTCGTGGGTGCTGGGATTACAGGTGTGCACCACCGCCCAGTTGCTCAGTTTCTTTCATGTGTAAGGAGTACCAGGCTGAAGGCGGCTGGGTAAGAAGGGCGGAGGATACGAAGGAGACTAAACATAAACAGTGTTGCTGCCTTCTCAGGACCATCAGTTGTGTCTTGCGAAAGATCATTCCAGCTGGACTTCCTGACAGCTTATGTCCCCTGCATAGAGGGACAGGGCCCAGGGTTCTCACCTGATGGCCCCAGCTCCTCACCACCTGTTGTAGCTGCATGTGGCCTTAACTGCGTGGCCGAGGGAGGACGTGCCAGACAAAGGCTTTCAGGTGCACCCTGCTGTGGGAAGAGCAAACCCTTTTAAGTAACCCCTCACTGATTCTCAGAGTGAACTTTGGGGGAGTCCTGCCTCAGTTTGTTGGTTTGTCGTCGGGACCTTAAGAAGAAGGGTAGACACCATTTATGTCTCCCTCTGGGAAGGAATTTTAGAAACACGCAGTGGAAACTCACATCTGTAATCCCAGCACTCCTACTGTGAGATAGGAATGGAGCCAGGAGAATCCCAGAAAGCTTGGGGGCCTCCTAATCTGGCCACTGCAAACAAAAAGCCCACAATTGAGCTGTGGTGCACATGCACCCTTACTCACATGCAAGCATATACATACAAAAGTTTTTAAATTTTTATGTCATTGGTGTTTACCTGTATATGTTGTATGAGGGTGTCGGATCCCCTGGAACTAAACTTACAGACAGCTGCGAGCTGTCATGTGGGTTCTGGGAATCATCTCTCTAGCCCCCATATATAGTGGTGTATTTCTTACAAAGGTTGACGTCCATAGTAAATAGAATGATAGCAAATTCAGGAGCTAGACAAATAATAATTGAATCTCTCCGGCTTTTGAAAATGCTAATTCTTTTTTTTTTGTTTTGTTTTTAATATTTATTTATTTATTATGTATACAATATTCTGTCTGTGTGTATGTCTGCAGCCAGAAGAGGACACCAGACCTCATTCCAATGGTTGTGAACCACCATGTGGTTGCCGGGAATTGAACTCAGGACCTTTGGAAGAGCAGGCAATGCTCTTAACCACTGAGCCATCTCTCCAGCCCGAAAATGCTAATTCTTAATGCAAAAGGATAATTAGGTCATTAAAGGCAAGGTCAACACCTTTGGAGGAATGGATTTGAGATATAATTAATATTGAATCTCATTACCATGATACTTGGATAGGAGAGGTGATTTCCAGAGGTTTGAAGAAAAACTGAAATGTCAAGTGTTTTAATTGTGGCAAACAATGTCATCTAGAAAGAGACTGTAGACAGGGTGTTCCAATGTTTTTTTCTAAGATTAATCCATTCAGAATGCCCCTCTTGTCTGGATTATGCAGAAGGTGAGGCAAAGGTAGGCATTGGACTAATGAATGTAGGTCCAGAAGAGATATCCAAGGTAACCCTTTGCCATTGGGAAACTCCTTGAGGGGCCTGCAAGAGGCCCCTATGCCAAATCCAGTTCAGTCATTTACTGCCATGGTAAAGGAAACTCCTTCCCAGAGCAATTAAAGAACCTAGTGCGTATTCTAAGAAACCATACTGCTCTGAATAATAGAACAGGTATAGAAGAAAAAAATCAGGAGAAACAATAAAACAAGTACACACATCTATAAATAAAGACCAAAATTAAAGATATGAATAAATGATGTCATTGAAGGTCTGGTAGACACAGGTGCAGATGTATCAATAATTTCATCAGAATCTTGGGATCCAAATTGGCCTCTTCAGGACATAAGTGTTCAGTTTTTAGGGACCAGAAATTTATCTCAGGCAAAGAAAAACACAAGATGGGTTGAATGTAGGGCCAGGACAGAGAGGAATATTAAAACCATATGTGACTAACATAGCAATGAATTTGTGGGGATGTGATTTGTTATAGCAATGGAATACTCAGATTAACACTCCCCCAATCTTAGAAACAAACCATAAATTATTTTTTTCTGGGGAAAATATTACAAGATATTATAAAGAACAGTCACCAACCATTCGGGTTGTATAGGCCACAACAGCTGCTGATCTTCCATAGGCACCAACAACCCTACCTTTAAAATGGTTGACAGACAAACCTGTATGCATTGCACAATGGCCTTTAACAACAGAAACTAAGGTTTTAGAACAGTGGGTACAGGAGCAACCAAATGCTCATCATATTGACAAATCAACCAGCCCTTGGAATTCTCCTGTATTTGTTGTTAAAATGAAATCTGGAAAATGGAGAATGGTGACAGATCTAAGAGCTGTTAATGAGGTGAGTCAGCCAATGGGCTCTCTACAGTCTGGAATTCCTTTGCCTTCTCTATTACCTAAAGGATGGCCTCTTATAGTTACTGACTTAAAAGATTGTTTCTTCACTACACTTTTACAAGAAAAAGACAGAAATTTTTGCCTTCACAGTGCCTATTTATAATAATTCTCAGCCTGCTAAGAAATACCAATGGAAGATTCTCCCACAGGGAATGATCAATAGCCCCACCCTGTGCCAGTATTTTGTACAGCAGCCATTGGGAATGATACGTAAGCAATTTCCTGAGTCTATAGTTTACCATTACGTGGATGACATTTTGTTATCTGATTCTAATGCAGATGCTTTAGAAAATGCTTGAAGAAGTAAAGAAAATTTTGCCTCACTGGGGATTACAAAGTGCTCCTGAAAAAATACAAAGAGAGATTCTATTAATTATTTAAGTTATAAAATAGGTTTATAAAAAATTAGATTCCAAAAGGTACAAATTAAGAGAGATTGATTGCAGACTTCCAAAGATTGCTAGGAGACAGTTCCCATATATGGCCCACTATTGGGATAAAATCTGATGAACTAATTAATTTAAGCAAAACTTTAAATGGTGACAGTGACTTAATCCAAGGAAATTATCAGCTGAAACTGAGAGAGAATTGACTTTGATTAAAGAGAAATTACAGAAGGCACAAGTGGATCGGATTGTGTGGATCCGAATCTTAACTGCATTCTGGTTATAGTACCCTTCAGACATTCTCCTACAGGAAATTTAATGCAGAGGGAAGATATTATCTTAGGATGAGTCTTTTTATCACTTAAACAGAGTAAAAAATTAAAACGTGTGTGGAAAAGGTCTCTGAGTTAATTCTAAAAGAGAAATTGTCATCAGTTAGTAAGAAATTACAGTATCTTTTAATAATGATGAAATTGACAAATTATGAGCAGAAAAGGAACCCTGGCAAAGAGCTTGTAGTAATTTTTGGGGGAGAGATTAACAACAACTATCCCAAAAGCAAGAGAATTCAACTAAAGAGAACTAGCTGGATCCTTCCTCGCATTGTACAGAAAACACCAATAACTGGATCCCCTACATTCTATACTGGTGCAAATAAATTAGGAAAGGCAGCTTACAAATAGGAAGCTTTAAGTAAAGTAGATCAAAGCCCTATGGTTTTGTCCAAAAGTCAGTATTACATGCTATTCTCATGGTACTAAAGGATTATTTATTTATTTTTGTTTTTTTGAGACAAGGTATCCTTTTGTAGCCTGGCCTGGAACTCACTTTGTCCACCAGGCTGGCCTCAAACTCACAGAGATTCACCTGCCTCTGCCTACCTAGTACTGGGATTGAAAGCATGCACCACCACCACCCGGCAGTACTAAGGGATTTTAAAGAATCTCTCAACATAGTTACCGGTTTTCATATGCAAAAAGAGTTGTTTTGCATATTGAAACTGCTGAATTTATACCAGGAAATACAGAATTGCCTTCATTATTTATTCAGTTACAAGATATAATCCGGTATAAGCATCATCCCATCCATATACACAACACACATACATTTCTACTCTTGTTCAACGTATACCTAAACAACTCATTTAATAATATAATATAAATTTCTAGTCCTTCAAAATTATTATTACTAACTGTTTAAGACAATAAGGAAATGCAGTTAGTAGTTAATCACTTATTAAAATTGAACTTGTGGTCAAATTAGGTATGTTTTCAAGGTCAAACAAATATATATTTTAGATAGACAGGCCCTCCTCAAACACTTCAGAGATCTACAGAATATAGCATTTTAGATGTTTTAATAACTTACGCTCTTTTTTCATGACAGTGAGACATGTCTGCTCCTGGCAGCCTCAATCCACTTCAGAGAAGATAATGGGCATCGAGGAAACTCCATGTGGAGTTTACTTTCTTTGTGGCAGAAGTAAGTCACTGGGCAAGAAAATGCCCTTGCCTGGACTGCTAAGAGTATGCTGTCCTAATTGGACAAGCAGGACACAAAAGAGAGTTTCTGGCAAATGTTGTCAAGACGGGGGAACAACCCTTCAGAATATCCTACTTTGAACTAAGAGAGCCATGCAACAAGTGACATTAACATCCCTGGGTACTGCAGAACTTTCTGCATGCTACACCCCAGACAGAGCTGTCCTTACCCTGTCAGGACTGCATGTTCCTCTCCTTTAGCAAGCAAGCCATGAAGCAGTCACCCCTGTGGGATAGTGATAGCCTGGTGCCTACCACTGGCTTCTGCTCATCTGCTTCCCTCAATAAACCCTATTTAGTCTTTAAAAAAAGAAAAAAAGAATATCCTGCTTCACAGAAAAGCATGTTGCATATTCTAGGCCTGCAAGCCAAAGATCGATACTCCAATGTTGCAGAGGAACTTTGGGTGACCATCCAGGCAGCCAGCTGTTTCTGTCACTTCTCACACTTTTTTTTGAAGTCGCCTGCTTGCACTTCCTGCTTACTCAGAAGACTAGATAGTTA